TAGGTGACCCTGCTTCGGCAGGAGGGTTGGACTAGATGACCCACAGAGGTCCCTTCCAACCCCTATTATTCTGTGATTCTGTGATTCTGTGTCCTGACATGGGATGCTTGGGTGTCTGGGGTGCCTGTGCCCACCACAGTCTGGGATGTCCCAGCTCCAGAGCTATCTCATGGGAAACCGGACACAGATGAGGCGTCCGCAGGGACCAAGGAGGCTCACACTTGTATCTGATGGGTGGTTTTAATTCAACCCGCACTACTGGCTTTTTAGGAGCCGGCAGCTGGCTGTGTCTCCAGCCCAGTGACACCCTGGGGTGCTGGTGACGGGTGCCAGGTAGACCTGGGGACATTCAGGGAGGCCTCCCATAGAGTGGGCAGTGGGATGGAGGGTTTTCTTCACAGGCTTTTTGAAGAGCCCTGCAAGGACTAGAGGAGACCTAAAAGGCACAACAAAGGCAGCAGTAGGGTGTTTTCTTCACCCAAAAATTACAGCTGTCTCCTTGAATTCTTCCTTCATGAAAAACTGCCGGGTGCCACCCGGCAGCCCGGTGAAAGCCAGGGGAGCAGCTGGAGGATCACACCACGTTGCATCCTCCACACCCCGGCCGGGTATCGCAGTGCCCTCCTCGCTCCACCATTCCCACCCCGTTTCCCTTCACTCCTCCGCTGGCGCTTACCGCTTCTGTTAAACGAGAGAAAATATTACTGCTAGCGTGGATTTGCACTGCTAACAGGCTAAAGAGAGAAGTGCATGTTGAAACACAGCTTGCACTTGCTTGCCTAGCAATTCCAGCTCCGGTTTGATTGTGGTTTTTTAATAATTATCTTTTCATACTTCAAATCCACCTTGGATGAACTGTGAAAGGGGCCAGAGGAGAAAAGGGGCCAAGGAAAGGATGTGGCTCTTCCCTAAGCCAAAGCCATGGCCATGCCATGTGGCATGCCTCTGAAGAGCTCTACTGGCACCAGAAGAAGGTTTTCCCACCCCGCTGCAGCCCCCCACAACGCCATGAAGAGAGGACACCTCCTCCCCAGACCCCAGTGCCTGCTTCCACCCCCCCCAGCCCAGCCATGGACAGCCCCCAGCATGGTCCCAGGCTTGCTCCAGGGCTGATCTTTCTCTTCCACCCCATCTTCCACGTGGCCTTCACCCAGCACTGCTCCCGTGTCTTTGGTAAAAATCAGGCTGGTGACAGTGAGGGTTGGAGCAAGCATTTTTCAGCAAGGTGTGAAGCTGCCCGCTCACCAAGGGCTGCATCACCTCCTGGTCCTCGTAGGCTCCAGGCATGGGGCATCCTGTGCCCAGCACCCTCCTCCACCCACCTCCTCACACCCTGGCCACGCTGCAGCAGCTCCTGGTTGCTTCTGCCCCAGGCCTGGCCCCAGCGGTCCCTCAGCCCCCCAGGCTGCCTGCTCTGCAGAGCCAGCATCTTCCAGCGCAGTCTTACAGCACATGAGGGATAACCAGCCATTTCATCCAGTCACAACCACACTTTTCCAGGTTACAAAGTGACTACTCAGGCAGTGGGAGTTCTCCATTTGCTGGTGCCATGAAGCCCAACAACGTGGCTCCGACAGAGCAGCCAGCACTTCTCATAGAATCATTAAGGTTGGAAAAGACCTCTAGGATCATCGGGTCCAACCGTCCACCCAGCACCACCGTGCCTGCTAAACCACGTCCCCAAGTGCCACATCTACATGGTTTTTGAACCCCTCCAGGGATGGGGACTCCACCATTGCCCTGGGCAGCCTGGTCCACTGCCTGACTGCTCTTTCAGTGAAGAAACTTTTCCTAAAATAAAGAAATTTTCCACTTGGTGAGACTCTGCCCAGCCGCTGCATTTCAGAGCATGGCAGCCCTTGGCCCCAGTGCCTCCAGAGCCCCGCTCCCAGGGTACCTGGGCACTGCTTTCATTTTGAAGCCAATGGAACTGCCTGCCAAAAACCTGGCTGTGAACTCCCCAGCAATGTCTGCCACGGCTGGAACAAGGTCTGTTCTGTACGACACACCGGAGAGCCCACCGAAAGTGATACTGCAGGTGTTACACACACACAGAGTGGTGGAAGGGACCTTTTGGTGCCTTGATCCCATCTCCTCCCTTCACACACTGAAAGTTACCTACTGGTGTACATCATACACAGTGTTTTAATCATGTAATGCATTAATAACATAATTAAAGTCCAGACCATTTGCTAAGTAACATATATAACTCCGATCACTGCTTTGATATATTAAAAATTCATTAACTGCTTCCTAGAGTTTCAGGCCAGGAGAGACAGTGGGTCTCATCTGGGCTGACCTCCCACATATCCATGAGCCAGAGATTTCCCTCAGCATTCTCCACCTGTATCGAGCTCGCCAATTTAAGAAGCAATATTTGCTTGTATATCAAAGACGTTTGACACCCGGGAGTCCAGCACATTTCTCGGTGAGCTGCTCCAACAGCTAATTACCCCAGCTGTTAAAAAAACTCATCCTTATTTCCACTGTGGGCTTTGGTAGCTTCAAATGTTTGCTGTTGGCTCCTCCAATTCCTTAGGCGACTGCTTGGAGCTAGCTTTTCACCACTGCCCACCTCTTCCTCCCTGAGATAATTAGAACATAGATTTATCTCACTTTTTAACTACCTCAGTCACTCTTAACCACCTTAATGCATGGAGCTTCTCTGGTCCCCCCTCACAAGACCTGTTTTCCAGATCACAAAGCTCCCTGGTACCCAAAGACACTGGCAACAAGCAAGCAGGACAAACAGACATCAAAATCAAGGTACATGCTGCCAAGAGCGATGTGGGCCTGTAACGATGTTCAAGGCAACCGCTTGGTCCTTCAACCTTTCATGGATGCAAGAAGCACTCACAGAAGGAGTCATCTCCCAAGGCTGAGCCACCGGTCTGCTCCCGGGCAGCCACCATGTCTTGAAAGCAAGTTCTCCTCCCAGAAAAGCCAGGCTTCAAAATCCGCCTGAGCATAGCGAACCAACCTCCCTCCATTTTCACCTATATTTAGCCAGGCCATTATTTATGGAGATGGCAGGAAATTTTTCAGCCGGATCCAAACATAACTCGAAAATTGAAAGAGGGTCTATAAAAAGATAAACCGAAGGACCTAACGGGGAGCCGGTCGTGGGGACGCGCCGCGGCTGCAAGGGAGGGCTCTTCCAGCCGGCGAGCGAGCAGCATCACTGCCAACGCCGATCGCGTTCACTGGGTCAGACCCCGGTCATGGGGACCGACGGAGCTGCCTTCCCTCAGACGGCCGCCCTCAGAAACCCCGTTCTCCAAAAACAGAGTTTTTTCCAGATTTAAAAGACATGGTTTAAAAAACAACTCGTGGCCCTAAGCCCGCCCGAGTCAGGGGGAGAGACGGCGTCCTGGCACTGGCAGGGGAGGCAGGGAGCATCCTCCCCACTGGCATCTCCTTCTTGCTTGTCCTGGGGCTGGGTGCCTCCATCCGAAGGGGCTTTTTTCCGCTGGAGGAAGGGGATATACTGCAGAAGACCGAGCGCCCTACAAGAGTCTACCTATATACACACGCATGTATAGGCTGGCACTGCAATGCGTGCAGGGAGCAGATAATCCCTTCACCAAAGGAGGTCCCAGAAGATAACTGAGGAGGGCAGAAGACAGAACTGAGCTTTAATCATTCATCTGTTCCCTTCCTCCCCAGCACTTCATCTGACTGATTCTAATTAAACTGGATTTTGCTCTTCTGAGCCAGGAGAGCTTTTATTTTATTTGTTTAAAGACTGTTTCCTTGCCACCAGATCTCCTCCAAATCTCCCTCACACAGAGTCAAAGGCAACATTCTGACCAGAGATGCACAGAGCATCAGCTGCTCTTGGGAGGAGGAGATGTGCCGCGACGGCGTCCAGCAGAGCATGGAGGCAACTCGCTGCATGCCAGGAGGATTGCTCTGAGCTGTCACACATGTCCCGGGACACGTGAAACCTGATGGAAGTTCCTGCACCGATTCAGCGGACCTGGAGTCAGGTTTAACCTCCTTTGCTGATCTTCCCCAACACATCTGAGCATGGCCAGCAGGTCGAGGGAGGTGACTCTGCCCCTCTACTCTGCTCTGGTGAGACCTCACCTGGAGTACTGCGTTCAGCTCTGGAGCCCTCAGCACAAGAAGGACATGGAACTGTTGGAGCGGGTCCAAAGCAGGGCTACAAAAATGATCCGAGGGCTGGAGCACCTCTCCTATGAGGACAGGCTGAGAGAGTTGGGCTTGTTCAGCCTGGAGAAGACAAGGCTGTGGGGAGACCTGATTGCAGCCTTTCAGTACTTAAAGGGAGCCTGCAGGAAAGATGGGGACAATCTGTTTAGTAGAGACAGCAGTGACAGGACGAGGGGTGATGGTTTTAAACTAAAACAGGGTAGGTTTAGGCTGGATATAAGGAAGAAATTCTTTACAATGAGGGTGGTGAAACACTGGCACGGGTTGCCCAGAGAGGTGGTGGAGGCCCCATCCCTGGGAACATTCCAGACCACGTTGGACAGGGCTCTGAGCAACCTGATCTCGTTAGCGGTGTCCCTGCTCGCTGCGGGGGGGTTGGACTAGATGACCTCTAGGGGTCCCATCCAACCCAAAACTTTCTATGATTCTATGATTCCATGATTCTATCAGAAATGAAAACAGATAAAAACAGAGTATTTCTTTTTATCAGTTCACCTGCAAAAACATTTTTGCGTACAAACAGAACTCCAGAACTATTTCAGATGAGTGTTGTAGTTGGCAACAGATTGATGTGTAAATTTTATTCATTTTATTCCAGTTCAGAACTTGAAGTCCTATAAAATCGGTGTTGTGGTGAGTTTACTTTAAATAACATTTTTATTAAAGTTGGCGAAGAGTTTCACTTCTTTTGCCATCTTAGGATATATTTTTCTGTATGTTCCAGTAATACGATGAATGATAGCAGAGGAATGCATATTGCTTCTGGGAGCTTTCCAGGACTGAGACCATCATGATTTCCAGAAAAAATCAAAAGAATATGCCATGCTAACATTTTAATCCAGTTAAATATTTTAACAATATTTACTAGTATTTTGCTGGAGGGAAATTAAATAGAAAAATCTATGGAAATCTGGGAGATCCAGATGCTGCCCGCGCCGGCAGAAACGGGCAACAGGGACAACGCTCCTGCTCCGAGTTGGGTTTTTTTCTTTCCCTCCCTCCTTTCTTTCATCCTTCCAAGCCACTTGTTCCACCAGGGCAAGGCCAGGTCAGCAGCAGCACGCAGGCACGCTCGGCTCCAAAGCCAGCAGTCGCTAATCCCGCCGGGGAGCTGAGTGTACCACAAAACCATCATCATCTTCATTACAAAGCGGCAGCCAGCGGCGATGGAAGATCTTTCCCGACAGCGTGTGACCCTGCTCCACCTCCCCGGGGATCCAAAGCGCTTCACGAGACCCCGGTCAAGCCGGGGTGGGGGGGGTTTGGGTTCCCCATTTCCAAACCTGCCTCTTCAGAAAACATACAACTGCAATAAGAATTCAGTCCGTTGGATAACATTTCATGCTTGGCACAAGGACCGAGGACAATCTCTGTGACATTTAATACCATAAATACCTTCGCTTCCACGTTACTTTGCACCAGCAACAAAGCCTGGTCATTCCCTTCGCTACGGTTGCTTCTCCCAACGCTTTGCACGCTCCGGGGCAGAGCCTCGGGGAGACTCTGGCGTGTCTGAGCACAGTGGACACTCATTACATTTGTGACCACTTGCTTTACGGCTGTCCTAAAGCTATCTGCAGCCACAGGTGGGGTGTTCAGCGCTTTTCATTGTAGGAGCTGGGACAAGACACAGTGTGGGGGTGCCCACACTTTTCCCTAAGACACTCCTGGTGTTCACCTACATGAAAAACTTCTCCTCGGCAGCTGCCCTACTTATTTCCAGCTGAAGTCACGGGAAAATAACCAAAAGCTCGGCAAGGAGTGGGTAAAACGTTCTCCAGCGGCCACGGGGAAACCGTGCCGCAGAGGGGGCTGCGCCGGGTGCTGGGGGGGGGCTGCACCCCCCTTGTGCTCAAGACCCCCGTGGGTGCAGAGACACCTCGCCCAGCGCTGGTGCGGTGACTTGCGTGGTCTGGAAACTGTCGCCCAGGGTCGGAAAGCACCAGCTCGAACACCGGAGCAATCCCTCCTCGCGGTCCTCCCACCACCTTCTCCCCAGGCACCCCTCTGGCCCTCGCCCAGGACCCCCCGGGCTCTTCGGGCTCGGTCCAGGCATTCACTACGCTGCTCCAGGGGACCCCCAGGGACACGGCGCATCTCAGCACCGGAGG